CGGGGTGCGCCTGCGCGCCGCCCTCCCGCCGCCTTGGCCGAGGCGCGGCCCCGCCCCCGTCGCGCGCTGCGCAGGCGCGGCGGGAGGGCCGGCGATGAGCGTCCTGCTGCCCAATATGGCGGACTTCGACACGATCTACGAGCTGGAGGAGGAGGACGAGGAGGAGCAGGATGAGCCCGAGCCCGTGGTGCGGAGCCAGGAGCTGCCCCGGCCCCGCGACGCGCCCGATCCCGTAGCGGTACGGGGCGCCGGGCACATCACCGTGTAAGGAAGGAGCGGGGGCAGCGTGAGGGGCCGGTGTGGCGGGGCGGTGGAGCCGGGCGGGAGCGCCGGGAGGGGTGAGGGCAGCGGGAGCACCGTGCCCCGGCCCTGTCGGCCCCGGGCTCCCGCCCCGCGGGGCCGAGAGCCGCGGCCCTGCGCCCCTCTCCCCTCTCCGTGAGGGGAGCTGTGCTGTGAACGTGGTGTTTTCCGGTAGCTCGAGGAAACCCCCAGCCGTGAATGAACAGCCGGAGTTGGCTGTCGGGCGCAGAGGCTGCAGCGCAGCCCTGGCAGCCCTCCCTGGTTGCTCCTCTTTATCCAAACAATTTGTTAGATAAAAAGCAAAGTCCACGCGATGCGAGGACGAACAGCCTGTTCAAACCATCTCGGTGTGACCCTTGTGTGCCACAGCTGAGCCAGGGAGCCCCACGCTGCACTGCAGAGGAGGCTCCTGCCCGTGCTGTACTTTATCTGCCCCGAACTTAGTTGGGAGTTTGGTTTAGATTGAGTGTTTTTATCACTGGAACACAGCGTGAGCCAGAATGTTTGCTGTTCATTTAAACAGTTGAACAGAAGACGAGCAAGCTGTGTTTCCTTATATGTAATGTTTACTCATAGGGATTTTCTTAGTATTCCTGCTCCAGCAAGCTGAAGAATTAATAGAAGCAAGTGCATCCTTAACAAGTTGTTGGTTGTCATGTTAATTTTCGTGGCAGGGAGGGAGGTATTGAAGTTTATGAATTGCAGAGACCCACCAAGCTTGTGTTGCTTTGGCTGTCTTTGGATTGCCTAAAATTCCCATTTCTCTCTGTAAATAGGTGCAGTGTGATCTAAGTCCCTGCAGCAAAAGCACTGGGTGGGGAAGGCTCTCCCATGCCATGGGAAGTGGGGCTGGATCTGTGTCCTCCTGGAAGCCTGGATCAGGGTTGCATTGAGCTGGTGCCAGTGGGGAGTTGCTGTGCTGCACCGCAGTGCATTTGCTCGTGCAGATGGAATTTCTTTGTGTCCTCACCCCAAATAGCTGCTGGCTTGACTAAAGGAGAGGTGGAACACAAGCAAGATGCTCAGAATACCAAGTACCCATCTTAGGAGTTACCTGATTTGAAGTGCTGAACTGGAAAAAAATTTACACACTTATCTGCTTTGCTTTCTGTGATGCTTTTTGTGTGTTAGTGATGTTACTTACAGTTCCTTCTTGGCTCCAGCATCTTTTTGGGATGAGCAGGGGCATCTCCAAGAACTAGAGATGTCTACATCCAAAAAAGGACTCTTGTCAGTGAAGTGGAAGTCCTTAGCTAGCTACACGCCCTTGTAACCACCTGAGCTGAATCCCCATCCAACTTACTTTCCCTTTCTCCCACCCCTCTCAGCTTTCTTCCTGTAACAGGACCTACCTGCATGGTAGGAGGCCGCTTTAATCAGCTCATACTGTATTTTTAAATCTCCTTATACTGATAAAAACAGTTTTTGGGTGTTACCAATAAAATGCAAGTAAATCCTGGACACTGGAGTACATAATCCTAACCTCCTCTTAAATGGGAACTTCTGGGTTTTCTTCCCAAAGAGTCTGTGTGTTGGAGCTCTGTCACTTTTTGATCACACAGATGCTGCTGCTTTTGAAATCAGTTGGCTGCAGAAGCAGCCTGCTCCAGTTACTGAAGGGAGAGACGTCATCCAGGAAAACCTGGGTTTGCTGAACCTGTCTGGAGTACTGCTAGTGAAAATGTCTGTCCTGACAAGTCAGACATTATTAAAAAAAGCAAACCAGTTATCTTTATAAAGCCATTGTTTTCCTTGGATTTCTTTTTAGATGTCTCCTGTTCCTCAGCTGACACTGGCTTTCTTGAATACTTCTGGTGTATAGAGAAGGGATAATTCTCAAATTCCAGGGTCATCTGCTTCAGCTTTTCATGTCCAGTTCTCTTACGAAACTCCCAAGCTGGTAGATTCAAACACTCTTAGTTTCTTGCAAGAGACTTTTTATTCTTATGACCTTGTCAGTGAGCTGCTTGCTCTAACAGAGTAACTATTCTGCAGTATCCAACTGTACTAAATACAAATTCCAAGAGTTTTCTGAGGTTATTTAGCAGGATCTTGCTTTTCCCACTTCACTTTTGCTAGCCCTTCTGCCCCTGTGTGTGGTAAAAATGACCATGTAAAGTGTATTTGTTTCATTTTAGTTAGAGAGGATGTGTGTAAAAATGGTTGGCAAGATCTTGTTCATCTTGTCCAGGATTCTTTGAAAAAATTCTGTCATATTTATTGGTTTTGAAAGCTTTTGAATTTTAGCACAGATAAATTACTAGGTCCTAGTAAATGCCTTTTCTTCTGCAATTCCATTTTGATGAGTTACAAAGACCTTGTCTGCTGTTTCTCCCATAGTGTGACTGCTTGGTGTATCCAAGTATCTCCACACAGACATTTGTAGTGAAGACTGAGTCATTGCCTAGCAAAGCAAAGGCAATAACTTCCAAAAACAGAGCAGTAAGCAAACTGTAACTTGGCTGTAGGGTTGTATTTATCTGCTATAATTTTTCCGTATCATTAAGTCCATTTGGATGGATGGTAATGAGGTAATGAAATAGCAATTAAACATATTTTTGCCATTAGTATGCAGCTTCCTGCTGAAGTCTGAAAACCTCCTAGTCTGACTAGAAGTTAACTTTTGGTGTTCTATCCTGTTTTTGTAGGAGTGCCCCAGGGACCAGGGTCCAGGTGCTGATGAAAAGTTTATTTTCATCAGCTGGGGAAGGGAGGGAAGAGCCAGTTGAGATAACATTTGAGTATTATCTGGTATTGTTCCACCTTCCATATATTTGAAACAGCAAATGACCTCAGCCTTCCACTCATTACCAAAAACTTCATTTTCCAAAACATCATCTGTGGGTAAGGATTCTTGGATAGTTCTGTTGGCTGCACAGGAAAATGTTCTGAACTGGGGAACGTTACAGCAAGGAGATTTCATCTCAGGGCTCTTGAGGTATGTCATCTTTACTCTCTAATGTTGGCCAAAGCTCAGCTGATACCTCATAAAGAGCACTGTGGGATCTGAGCTCCACTCTTGCAGCGAGGTTAAACATAACCTGGATTAGGTGTGGGGAAAGGAGCTGTGCTAGAGGGGGGTTGGAGAGCTTCACTGAGCAGGTTTAACTTGTGCAGTCTAGTAAGGCTGATTACTATCTATAAATACAGGAGTGGGAGAACTGAGAATGAGGTGAGGTTTAAGTCAAACAAAATAAAAAGGCAAAGCACCTTAAAATTTTTCTCTTCTAAATGTAAGAAAGTGTTTCCAAACTCTTCCTGTTTCAGTTCTGGGGACAGAAAACCTGATCTCCTACTTTGTAAACCAATAACCATTATCTTGTGGTACCTGTTGCAGATGAGGTTTGCAACTGGTGGTTCAAGATGTTCACTTCAACCTTTAACTGAGGGATTGATGCATTTCTCTTATTATAGCTCCCGAGGACAAGTTGTGTTCTCACCACTCTACAGATGGGGGAAAATGAGGTGATGGGATTTGCCTGATGCCATCCATGAAAACAGGCAAAGAGGGCCAGAGCTGGCAAGTGAGGTCATCCTAGGTCTGTTGCAGCCTCTAGGAAACAGTGCCTGGCTCTTAGAGGTACTTGTCATGCAGTGAGAAAAGTGCAACAAAGAACGTGGGTGACTGATCTGAATTTCTAAATGTTACACTTCGGGCAGCTTGCACTGAGGAGTCACAGAACTGGCCCAGAAATAAATCACCACCAACTGCTCTTCTAAATGACTTAAGGGACAGCTACTGAATTTTAGAAGATTTCGTAGGCCTGCTCATGCTAGATCACTAGTCTGTTGTAGGAAGTCTAATTAAGTTAATTACCTCTTGATCAATACTTTAGATTTTAACTTCTTTACATGAAAGGTTCTAATAACACTTCAGTACTTTCACAAAGTTGTAAAGCTGTACAACTGTATAGCATCCTGCTTCAATCTTTTTATTTTATTTGGTTGTTGAGTCATCCCTCTGCTCCATTTAACAGGAGTTTTAATATTTCTAAGCCCTGTAGTAAATAATCACAGAATAGTCTGTAAAACTTCCAGAGATATTTCAGCAAAACTGTGCTAAAGGCCATCAGTGATTCTGACTAAATATAGTATTTAAAGTACAGTTAAAACATGAAGTTATATTCTTTAGCCACTCACATGTGTCAGTGTGAGAGATGCCATTCTGTAACTCAGGTTTTCTGGACGTGCTGCAGCTGAAGGGAATGTTTTGGCAACTAATAAAAATAAGTTATTTGGGGGTTTTAATATGTGTCATGACATCAGCTTTGAAACTTAACCCAAAACACATTGTGATCTTGCATTCCTAATCAGCTTTATTAATCAGAAAGCACTAATTTATCTTGTTCTTTATGGAAATTGGGGTGCAGTGGGAATTTTCATGAGTGTATTTGATCAGTGAGATAAAAGACACTACCTGTGGCTTAGGAGCTGTTTGAACTCTAAATTGTTGAAGGTCAGAGGAGGGTTCTGAGGAGCAGCTGGTATATGTTTGCTCTTTTTTCCAATTTCTTTTGCTGTATCCTAAGCTGCTGCTCCTGGCCACTGTAAGAATC